GTAGTAAATATAATATAATACATACAATTCCCAGCTTTAACCTTAAAACAGAGTATATTATATATGTATATGAAAAAACAAACTACTAGTATTAAAAGCAAGAGAAGATGTTCAAACATGTATCAGGTGTTATAATGTAGATTACAGGTAGATGTGTTATAAAGGTAGCCCTGCTCCTGACCACAGGAAGTTAACAGACATCCGGTCATTAACGGTGCAGTGACGTCAGAGCGGCCTGTCCTGCCAGCTGCTCCGCACCAACMCGTCCCCACAGCGGCCGGCTGCTGTTGCGCATCACCTGGTACCAGGTAACCAGGTCACCGTGTGAAACACCGACACGGTGAAGCGGCATCAGCCGATCGGTGGAGCTCGGTGCGGACACAGACATGATGAACTGACACCGTGCTGCGTGCTGACRTGATGAAATAACGAGCGGTTTTGTTTTAAGTCGGTGATTGCTGGCCGTGATTCGGCGTACGGTTGATGACACGGACACCTGCCTGACCGTCGCCGTTCATCAGCCGCTCCGTGTCGCTCCTCTCCGCCGGAGGCTTGACCCGGGGATGGACAGACTCTTCACGGCTCCATCTCCCGTCTACACCCGGCTGGAAGTGATGCTCTGCCGGTAAACGACGGACTGCTGTTGGTTAAAGTGGCCTACGTCCGCCGCTCGGTGTTAACACTAGGAACTTCCGGGAAGATTTTCATAATAAAAGCATACAAGATTATTTTTCTTAGGCTGGCTACGTTTATACTATTTTAGTTTACAAATACAAGATAAATCCTGCTAATTAACTCTTGACATTATTTACCTTTTTAAAAACAATTAATAATAATTACTTTTAATCTATTTCATTTAATTAAAAACAAAACATTTAATAAAAAATTTCAGCAAAACACTAAATCATTAAATGAATGAAAGCTTGGATCTTAATCCAATCTTACTGCAGAATAGTGATAATAAAACAATTTTTAAAAAGATGTGTTTATTTTTTAGTAAAAGTCTGATAATAAAAACTAAGTCCTCGTTAATTTATTTGCAAACAGTAAAATTTATTAAGCATCTTGGAGTTCAGCAAACACACATCTGTCGGTAAAACAAGCACAAAGAAAAACTTTTTTTGAGAAACAAACAGCTGGATTCTTTCCTGGATGGAAACTCGAAAGTCAGGGCTGTGTCATTTATTTTGAAAGGTTATTTCCGGTGTACGGTTTTCTGTTAAATTTTCGGAGCTTTAAAGACTGGACGGAAAGAGCCGATGAAAGCCGAACTGCCCGGGATTCTTCAGGTTATATTCTTTATCTTTAATACAAACTTACTTTATTTTACAGATGTTTAAAGAAATTATTTTTAAATGTTTAGTTTTATATAAAAACATAATGACTAAATAACTGTGTTGTAATGGGATGTTTTAATGCACTGATTGTGTTTTTCTGTAGTTCTAACCATGTGTTATTGTGTGTTGTGTAGTGTTGTGTAGTTATATTGTGTAGTGTTGTGTAGTTATATTGTGCAGTGTTGTGTAGTTATATTGTGTAGTTATAGTGTAGTGTTGTGTAGTTATATTGTGCAGTGTTGTGTAGTTATATTGTGTAGTTCTATCATGTTCTTTGTGTTTTTCTCAGAAAGAACTCACTGATGCAGCAGCTCATCTCTTTTCTGTCTCTAACAGTTTATTATTAAAGACGAGGTCAACATCACCTGAGTTCACCTGAGCTCACCTGAGTTCACCTGAGTTCACCTGAGCTCACCTGTGTTCACCTGAGCTCACCTGTGTTCACCTGAGTTCACCTGAGCTCACCTGTGTTCACCTGAGCTCACCTGAGCTCACCTGAGCTCACCTGAGCTCACCTGAGTTCACCTGAGCTCACCTGTGTTCACCTGTGTTCACCTGAGCTCACCTGAGTTCACCTGAGCTCACCTGTGTTCACCTGAGCTCACCTGAGCTCACCTGAGCTCACCTGAGCTCACCTGAGCTCACCTGAGTTGGGTGTTTTCTCCAGTCTGACCACCAGGTGGCAGCAAGTGATGGGCAGAAACGACCCTGGATTAAAAAGCACAGCAGACAGACCTGCACCAAACCAGAACCACCTCCAAGGATCAACGCTCACCTGCTTCCTGATGGGAGGAGACACAGGTGTGGTTTGGGCCAAAGGAGGCGGAGCCGGCTGACTGCAGGTGGAGGAGGAGGTGAAGGAAGAGGAGGAAAGACCGGAGGCTCGCTGTCCGCTGTCAGGAGGGGAGGAAAAGGAGCGCAGCCTCCTGGTCTCCGGACGCCGTGGCTCCGTCAGGTACGTCTCCAGGTGGAAACCCCCCCCCTCCTCCTGACGAGAGGGGGCAGGAGGAGGAGGAGGAGGAGGAGGAGGAGGGGAGGACAAGCTGTAGGCTGTAGGGAGGAAGAGGAGGAGAAACAACAGTTGGTAAATGTGGCCTCCTGTAAAAAAAAGTTTCAACCAAGACCTGTCAGAACCACCTGAAACCTTCAGAGGTTCAAAACCTGGACTAAAGAACCAGAGAAGACCTTCAGACAGACCAGGTCCCATGTAGTCCACCTCACTAGAGGCTGTGATCAGACGTGTCCACAGCGGGCATGTTTCTGTACAGACGTTGAGGGTGGTAGTGTCATGGTCACAGTAATAAAAAAGGTCACAAAGAGGTAAAACAGCAGCAGATGTGGATTCCTCYGCAGGAGAAAGTAGTCCATGACAGCAGCAGCTGCTGGAGGATAAAGCTACAAATTACAGACTGTCAGTGAACACATCAGCAGCTCAGTTTCCTCTCAGTGAACACTGCTCCTCTACACTCTGTGCTGAGCCCGGAGCGTGACGCTCCTCAGATGACCTGAGAGTTATCAGTCAGACAGAACACGAAGAACCACAGGGTGATAAGAGCCGCTGAAGTTCCTCACTCTGACAGCTAATCACACAGCTGGAACACAAACAGGGATTACAGGCAGAGTTTCACGGCAGTGACGCACGCTGAGCCCGTCCTGACCAAGAACAAGATTAACTTTGTTTTTCAGACCGTTCTCTTTGTTCCTGAACTTTCAACACTCAGTCCTCACGCTGAGAGGAAACCTCGCTCAGAACGCTGTCTTTAACTAGAGTCAGGGTCTCATCAGAACCACATCAATCCTCTCAATCTGAGTCAGGAGGCCTGAGATCCAGAACAGCTGCCTGACTCTGTTCCTTCACTTTTAATCTCTACAGATTAGACTGATCACTCAAAGCTTCCACATTAATCCATCAATTTATAATTTCACCAAAACTTCCTTACTTCCATCCATCCATCCATCCATCCATCCATCCATCCATCCATCCAT